AAATACTCTCGCGTCGCGAACAATTAATTTGAATTTTGTAAATTTACTTGCGTGCATCTAACTCGCTTCCGATTGGTTGAAAAACAATCAGCTACTGTCAGAACTCATACATGCGCATTATCGTGAACCAGTCCCTTTAACCATTGGTTAAGCAGTATTAAAATCAATACGTTGTCAAGGTATTAAACGCTGGTGAACGCTAACCATGCTTCGAGCAACCGGGCCCTGGAGACTCAGTAGCAAATTTAGGGGCATCTTAGTCTTTTGAATACATCAGTTAATTTCAGTTTTGCAAGCGTAGACATTTAAGTCTAATTTGTCTGTCTAAACATGGTGAAGTGCTAATCTTTCAGTAGAATGTTTTACATTTTTGCTGACCATGATATATAAGGTCGGCATAACGTGCTATGACCAACCTGCTGTCACAACCAAGTTCATCGTGGCCTTCTTGGTTCCTAAGCTGTTTGTTACCACGCACTGGTACAAACCACTGTCCACTGGTCGTAAATTCCTGATAGTTAGTTTACCTTCCCTAACTTCGGTCTTTCCAGCAGGTAAAGGCATAACAAGTCTGATCCAGGTCAGCTTGGGAGGTGGATACCCTTCTGCCTGGCAGGTTTCTTGCATTTGAGCGAATTCCATTTTTGACACCAATGATGAGGGTTTTTTGGTAAAGATTGGAAGACCTAAGAGACGACAACTCAATATGATGTCGTCTGAAAAAGCTATAATTTATTTATTTTTACCCGTCTTCCAAACTACACAGAATCGGCGGCTTTCACTTGAAAAGAAATATCTATTTGAGTTTTCCCGCTTCCAGTAGACACCACATGTGTTAGTCGTCAAAATGACATTCAAGTGCTGCAACTCGTACGAATAATGGTGCGATATATGCCAGCTCACTAGTTTCACGAATCGCACGAGTTTTACAAGTTGAACTAAAGTTCCATATAAAGGGGGTGGGGATACTCGTCGTCTCGTTTGGGTAGGTAAATTGAAGATTCTGGTATCATCCAGTATGGTTAGTACGAAACGTCAAAATTTTCATCCATTCAGGGTGTAGCCTCGGGTGATATCGATGTTTGAACAAATACCGTAAATCCTCTATGAAGCCCCCCTCTCTAATAATGGCTCCCTCCCTTTTCAGGGGAGGAAAGTTAATAAGCCCCCCCCTCCCCTCCCTCCCCTCCCCCATATTATTAACTATTCCTAAAATCTCTTATTTCACTGTCTGACTTAACAAATAAAGCTTGAACTACGTTCTGATGGATCTTCTACGGCGTTTAATTCTATCCGTTGCTTACGATTATCACGCACCCTTTTAACACATACCATCACCCTTTTTATAGTGGTAGTCGCCCACCTGGACTTCATGCTCCCTCGATAGCAATGTAACAGGACCCTATTGCAAAATACGTTTAATAAGACAAGCAATCAGCCAGGAAACAAGGCCCACCCCTGAATTTGGTAAGAAATCATTCTGATGGCACATCAGCGGCCTTGCAAAAGGGTTTTCAATTTTCAAAGTAGTAAAGCTTATTGTACTTCTTACCTCGAACCTTTAAATTACCAGACGCCTCAGACAATCCAAGAATGTTTCTTGCCGCACATTTGTACTGCCCAGCATCGCTGTAATTCAGATTCCTGATGATCAGCTCTGCCTTTTTAACCAAATACTTTGCTCCCGACAGAAGCTTTCTGCCCTTGAATCGCCATTCGACAGTAGGAGTAGGGTTTCCCCCAACCGTACAATAAATCGCCGTATTTCCTCCTTCATCTCTAGTGTGATTTGCAGGTGATACCATCACGTGTGGAGCAGATATTGATTCTCCAGGCCTCCCAGGTGGTCCCGGATTTCCTGGTTCGCCCTTATCACCCTTTTCTCCCCAAGATCCTGGAAGTCCAGCCATTCCTGATTTTCCAGGTGGTCCAAAGCTACCTGGGATACCTTTCTTTCCCCTAGGTCCCCTCCTACCACGTGGTCCTTGTGCACCGATGGGACCAGGAAGTCCGGGGGGACCTGCAGGGCATACCCTCTCTTGTGACTTACAGTACTTGGAGGGCATTAGTTGTTCAAAATGTTTGGTGATTTCTTGACGCACGTCATGCATATTGATGGTCGCTGAAGTCACGTTCGAAACCTGTCTCCGGTTTCTTGACTTTGCGCTTGTTCTTGAATCTCCTGACTCATCTGATAAAGCTAAGGGAAAAGCAAACTAAGTGCTGGGAAAATTTCCGCTGATACGATTGAGTTTTCGTCGACATTAAATTCCACCGTCTTGTTTTCTTTAACGTTTGTAGCCCAACTACCCTCTTGAAAGCATTTTTTTTTTTTTATGTCGTTTGCAGATTAAAATTCAAATTTGAGTGTCAACTTCATGACTTGACTGATCTCATTTTCTCAAAGCGAATTCGAAGGATCAATTTAAGAGCAAGTGATTTTCTTATGTAGCTGAGGATAGTAAGTTCCTCATTTCCCTATTTTTGGGTCAAAGTATAGACCTCTTTCATAATTGCGGCCTATTTCTTTTATCTGTATGATAATTAGTCTTTCTGGCCTCATTTATAAGTAAGAATTCTTTTGAATTTTGCACATGCTAACGAGGTCAGAAAGGCTAATTTTCGTACATATAAAAGCATGTATATTAATAGGCCGCAATTATGATAAAGAGCTCTATGCGGAAATAAAACTATAATTAACCTTTCCTGTCATGGTATCATTAGTCATCTTGTCAAAGAATCAAATTTAATCAAAAGAAAAACAAATTCAACAAAAAAGTTTGATCTTGAAAAGATTTGACCCATCCTTTCAAAAATCAATCCGCTAACATCCTCAAAACCCAGAGGCATGAAAAAAAAAAAAAAAAGCTATTCAGAGTAATAAAAAACTGCATGTCGAATAGCTTTTCTTTTTTGCGTAAAGGTTGCAAGAGGCATCATCCTAATTCGGAAATATTCAGTCTGTCCGAACTGATTTGAGATTGGTTGAACTGAACGTTGGCCTGATTGCAAGATTTTCAATTCTCTATCGGAGGATACTTCATATTGTTTTAATGAATTGTCTGCTGAACTTTTCTTAGGACTTATTCGCATGCAATTATCGTCATTATCCACTTCAATAGCAATATACAAAGATCAGTTTGACTGTCATGCAAGAAAAAAATAAATTGGAAATTAAACCGTCCAGTGGAAGAAGCCAAGAAAATGAATGTTATAAAAGACTAAAATATAAACGATTTGCCCAAGTTTCAGGTCTTTGTGGCCCATAGTTTCTGAGTTATTTGCCGAAAACGTTTCATACACCTTTGTAGAGCTTTGTATGGTGTACATACTGATGTACAGTTTTGGTGCACCAATATGGCCGTCGAAAACAAAAACATCTGGAGTTCACTTTTTCTATAAAAGCTCTTTTATTTTCACTCGAGAACTGGCATACGTGCGCATAAACATATCTTCTAATACTTGAAATGGTTATACTCCTGAAAATCAAGAGGACAGGCTTTTTTTCAACGAGACAGCATTCCTATTTTGGCGTCACGCACTGTAAAAACTCGGAAGTTCAAATTGCTGTATTTTCGAAATGAAATATGCTACGGGAATGCAAACTTGTACGAAGATTCATTTTTGGTTTACAATTTGATGACGTCACTGTGAAAACTATATATAAAGCCGGTGGAGCTTTGCTGTCTGCTCATAATATCCTTATAATATGCACGTACTCTTCAATGATTTGAAGAGTTGAAACAATTTGAAACAATTTGAAACAATTTTGAGACTCGAACACAGGGGTCACTCAACTCGCCACATAGTACGGTAAGCTCCCTGAGATACTTTAGGAAAATGTCGGTGGGGGGTGTGCGACATACCGCAGAACTGAAACATTACCCGTTTCTCAAGAGTCACATCATAAAAGAGCATACCGATTTCCAGGCCCTGGTTCCAGCAAGCACAAAATTTTGCCCTATTTCAGTCCAAAAGGTAGGAGCTAAAAACCATTCCCACTGGCTCCGCACACGCTTGTATGGCTTATGTGGAATTCCCCCAACAATAAGCTTAGTTTACAAAAATAAGGGAAATTTTTTTGTACTCTAATGATCTAACCCTAACCTGATGTATCGCTGAACTTCCTTTCTCTCTGAATTTTCTTTAAAAGATATCTCGTGGAATCTTCTTTTGGCCTACGAGTCGTTCTTTCACTATTTTCCGTAGTGCAGCCAGTATCAACAAGGACCACTGGAGACATGTTGATGCGCGTTTCCAATGCTATCAGTCGCCCGTTGGTTGTTTCATTCTTCACCCAGAGACATCCGCAAGCAAAAAGTAGCACCACTGAAAGAAGAGATGGCCTAATTGAAGGTAGGAAATCAACGAATCGATGGGACTTCGAAGAGTTAACCGACGCCATTTCTCAGTGTAACTTCAAGATCGTTTAACGAGTGTCACACACACATGAAGACGAAAGTCAGTGGAAAGTTGCCAGGATAATTTGATCCTGTAAATTCCAGCCCAGATAAACAGGGGTATAAATTACTTTTTTTGTTATTTTTTTGTTATTTTTTATAAATTACTTGGATATCCCTCAATTCAAGGATTTCCTGTTCGTAGCCCTAGTGTCATGTCGAGATGTACATGGAATTATCCCGCCAGTTACTTTTTCACAATCCCCCTCGTTGGGTTATTTTTTATTGTCGTTTGAAAGGAAACAAACTCTTCTTATTTATCCTTCATAACCTTTTGTAACACAATATTGGGCTTAGTATATATTCCACAAGGTCAAAAGCAAATTGTTGGTTTTGAAACGTGATTTCTTTTCGTTATCCCTTATTGGTGCACGAACTCGCTTACGGTAGTTATTATAAATCGATTATAGCCTACATAAATGATGATTTTTATTGATAAGCCCACGGCTACTTTCCCAGCCCTTTTTTCGTTATGTCCGCATGGGAAATACGTAATAATTTCTAGATCGTTTCCAAGCACGTTTTGTTTATTACAAATTTAGCGTTTTCATCTTAGTTTAGTTCTAGTGTAGACTTCATGGTGTGTTAACTTCAGCCATTCGGGCTTCATTTCTATCTACACTCGTGCTCATCAACTATCAAGTTCAGCTTAGCTTTTTTTGTGTTTACAAAAGGTTATGAAGGACAAATAAGAAGAGTTTGCACTGCAAGCTATTTGGGCTCTTGTTTCACCCGCCGAGAAAATCGATATTTTCTCGGCAGGTGAAAAAAGAGCCGAAAAAAGCGTCTGCACCCCGCAGGTTACCATTTCAAAAACTATAAGAGACGGACCATTAGAAAAGTTATGGGGGGGTGGGGTGGGGGAGGAACATTTTAAAGCCGCAGGAATTTTTTTTTCGTTATCAAATTCCTTGTATGATTTTTTTTAGGCTATAGCATTAATATTTTTTAGGATTAATTGGCGGGCATGATACTGGAAAACTAAAAAGAAAAGAAAAACTATACTCACTTTGGTTTACACACACACCAGTGTTATCTTGAATCAAAAAGTCTTGTCATCACTGAACTACAGTGGTTTTATAAGGGTTCGTATGCGCTACTCTTCAACATGAGTATGCTCAGAGATTGGTGCCAGCAGTTTTATTGTCGTATTACTTTAATCACTTTATGACTTTATAGGCGGTGAAACCTGTATTAAGCGGACACCGTATGAAGCGGACACCTTCTATTAAGCAGACAGTAGCCGAAGTCCCCAAATTTATTTCTCTTATTTACTTCAAATGAAACCTTTATTAAGCGGACATCTCTATTAAGCGGACGCGGACACCTAAAAAGTTCCTGAAATGGTCATTTCTATTGTTGCCAACCTGTATTAAATGGACACTTGTAAATAAATTCCACCACCCAACATGCCAGACACCACAAATGAGAAAGATTGCCTCGAATTGCCACTCACAAATTTTTCGATTTTTACGTTAAAAAACGTGACTTGACGAACTTATGAAATTACTTTCACAGGGGGGAGTACAGCCTATTGTTTTCTATTTCGTTTTGTTTGTATAGAGCTTGTTTCACTCATCTGATGTCTTCAAATTTGAGTTGTAATTCATGTTTATGGTACTATGATCAATTGATTCACTTTGATAAAGAAATTAATGCAAACGTCTATCGTTAGAGTCGCTGGGAGTATTATAAACGCTTCTACTGTTCATTTGAATGGCATTTGACACCAAATATGACGTTATATATCGAAACCTGTGTTAGGGCCTGTTTACATGGAGTGGGGGACCCCGGTCTAGTGGGGTTGGTTTCTTTTGTTTTCACGCTCTGGGGGACACAAAACAAAAGAAACCTACCCCACTAGACCGGGGTCCCCCACTCCATGTAAACAGGGTCTAAGGCGGACACCCTGTATTAAGCGGACACTACAGCATTCCCCGAGGGTGTTCACTGTATTTTCTAGTGTTATTTAGTTCTCATTCGCTATTTGGTATTATCGGTTTTTAGTCAGATATATTTGCACTCTATGTATTTTTAGCTAAGTAATGGTTCGATTTTATCGTTTTCAGTTCGAACCGACTTTGTACTACTTGTACCGATTTCACAACTTAGGGACCTTTTCTATTGTCAATCGACCCCGTCGATTCTTGTGTCAAGTTGTGACCTCTGTGCTAGGAACATTGATCTCTGGTTCAATAAATCTGTTCATGTTACTTCCTTCACTTCTCGTCGAGTTCGTTTTATGTCGCGCACCGTGTTAAGTGGTTTACTTGGATTTTTCGTTCTGGTATTCTGTCCCTGTAAATTACACAAATAGCCCTTAGCTAGCCCTTACATGCATGTTTACGCAGACGAGCAAATTTCATACAACCAAGCCAACCAATTTAGCGCAAGTTTGCGACGGTTTACGCGAATAAAAAGGTTGAAAAGAATACTTATGCACGGAAAGTGTCAATGAGAAGAATATCGTTCACAAACGAGGCTTGGTGGTATAATTTGCGTAAGGACCGTTGGCTGCCCAGAATGATGACTCTTGGAAAATGGAGGTGATATCAGTGTGGCAAGCTTTCTGAAAACTTTCCCCAATTTCAGACCAAAATAATTCATTTTACTCGCAGAACCAATTTCCTTCTTTAGAAACTCGAGGAAGAAAGGGTACAAGTGATTTCTGGGGTCTTTTTGTAGTTACGAACGGTCGACGGTATTTTAGCAATCATAAGTAACGCTTGTCCTCCCTCAGAGATCCCAGAAATCGTTGCGCAGAAAGCTTGTAACCATTTCCTTTAGGGACGGACCATTAGAAAAGTTATGGGGGGGTGGGATGTACAAAAAAAAAAGTTCATGCAAGAGAAAATAAAGTAAAAAAAAATCATGCCCGCCAATTAATCCTAAAAAATATTCATGCTATAGCCTAAAAAAAATTCATACAAGGAATTTGATAACTAAAAAAAATTCCTGCGGCTCGAAAATTGCCCTTCCCCACATAACTTTTCTAATGGTCCGTCCCTTATAGTTTCTGGAATGGTAACCTGCGGAGAGCAGACGCTTTTTTCGCCTCTTTTTTCACCCGCCGAGAAAATATCAATTTTGTCGGCGGGTGAAACAAGAGCCGAAATAGCCTGCAGTGTAGGCGTACTTTGGGCGGGCGAAAGCTTGTTTATGTTTGTATTGTTGTAACCGTCATCTTTGCTGCTCCCCGCAGGATACTGGAATGGGGAATATAGGAAGAGGTTTGCTGCGATTGGCTTAATGCTTTCAAAAAGAGTGTTTAACAAGATACTGACACCGAACTAACGTCACTATAACGGTCAATTAAAGCAGACACACAGTGATTACAGTGATTTAATTTTAACAAAACTGTGGAGTTAATTGACAAGAGGACAAAGAATGTGACTGTTGGTATAACAGAAACGTGACAGAGTGAGAATCAGTATTAATAATAAGTTAGAAAATACTATGGATAGTATAAATAGTTTCACCACATTCTGGTAAAAGTCAACTTTGCGTTACATGTGTTGTCACGCTTACGCCAATTTAGAAACGTGAAGGAAACTGGTGCCGAAATTGTCCCCCAATTGTTTCTGGGATTGCTACTGAGGACGCACGGGGCAGTTATTAGGGAGCTTTAGCAGGCGTTTTGCACGTCAACCGGAAGTGAGAACTATGCCTTGACGCTATAAAATTTGAATTACTTAGTTTCTTTATACTTGTAGAGACGATTTAACTGAAAATGTGGGCAAGACTACTGCTCGGGAATGTAAAAAGTCCACTTTCGGTTGACGTAGGGCGCTCAAAAACGCCTTCGCTTAAGTTCTCTATTGGTAAATATTTTTCTCTATCCCAAGTAACCGTCCCAGAAGTCTTTGCGAAAGTTGACTCGACCCAGTTTCCTTCTGGTTTTTAAAGTGCCGATGTCAAAGTGATATGGGCATCCCCGCGTTTTGGGCATCCCCGTTCGCAAAACCCTAGTGATATGAGCGTCCCCTGTAACCCTAACCCTAACCCAAATCGCTAAGGTAATATGAGAAGGTGATGTCCATATCACTAGGGTTTGGGGAATGGGGATGCCCAAAACGCGGGGATGCCCATATCACTCGACGCAGTTTCCTACTGGTTTTTAAAGTGCCGTAGTCACATTGATATGGGCATCCCCGGGTTTTAGTCATCCCCATTCCCAAAACCCTAGTGATATGGACATCCCCTGTAACCCTAACCCTAACCCAAATCGCTAAGGTAATATGAGAAGAGGATGTCCATATCACTAGGGTTTTGGGAATGGGGATGCCTAAAACGCGGGAATGCCCATATCAATGTGACACCGGATTGCTACCACAGAAAGGAAAGCGTGACTTGAACGGAGAACAATAATGTACCGTGACTGTAATTTAAGTGGTGTACCCCTCCAAATGTTGTCCTGCAACTTTTCATTTATCTACGTGGTTAGCCTAAAATCTTTCTCCTTCCCGCTGGAATTATTTAAAGCATATTAACAACTTCTTCACTACAGTGTTGTTGGAGTCTTAACTACGTTTCAGAATACTTCAAATTTCTTGCTATTTGGACTCAAATGTAGAAAGGACAATTGTATTTTTTTTTCTTTCAACTACTTTTACGCCTTCAGCTTACAATTTACAATTAAATTTTGAAAACAAATTAACAAAAGAAACTACACGCCCAACGCCTAACTTTCTGACTGGGATTTGACTGCAGCGTTAATCAAACAGCCGTTAACTAAACACAAGAACACTCGTTAAGTGTAGTTTCGGCGCTAGTTAGTGTTGATTAAATTGACACCCGCCCAACCCATTCACTGAGTGGACAGTCGATAGTCAAGGGCCATTGTAAAGGTGGCCGTTAGTAGAGAGGAAACCCAGGTTCTACTGCATTGTTCTGTTACATTAGAGAGAACATCGGGTCTTCCATAGGCATTGTAAACACTAGCCTT